GGCATGCCGATTTCTTTGACGAAATTCAGCAGCTTCCTCAGCTGAGTCGCTTTCACATCCTTCGGGTGCAGTACAATGCTCTCAAAGGCAGCTTGCCTCTGATGCACCAGCGCGGGGCATTTAGTGAGTATGTGTGATGACGTTTCATCATCCTCCAAGCACCATCTGCAGATGGGATTATCTTCGATCCCTATGAGTTCTAGGTGCCTGTTGAGGTGGTTGTGCCCAGTTAAGAGCCCAAATTCCATCTTGAGATCCCTCCTATTAAGTGACAGGATCTCTCTCGTGAGCCTTTTTGAAGGTTCCTTTATATGGAGCTTTGATTGTCCCATTCCTGGTGTGTCCCGCCATGTTTCAAGGAACTGCCTCTGTAGCATTTCCTTCATGAAGGACATAGCCGTACTATTGGGTATTCCCAATATCGGTTCTGGTCCAATGGGTGTCGTTCCTGAACCGATCTTGGCTAGTCTGTCTGCCTCCCCGTTCCCCGGGATACCAGAGTGTCCTGGAACCCACATGAGGCTGACTTCACTAGTTTTTGCCATATTTTCTAAGATGATTTGCCCTAAACTTTCGGAAATCTGATGGATCATCGATTCGATGTGCTGGTCCATTGGCAATTATCTTTTGACAGTGGTCAAAACTTTCTTGGAATAAATGACGCTTTGCCACTAACTTAGATTAGTTTGAATTGTGGCACGTTTGGATATTCGCGATATTTGCACTTTGTTTCAAATCGTTATCACGTGACAGAAGTTTGTCCCTAATGATGGCAGAAAAAAATCGCTGTGCCGAGATTTACCTCAGATTAAGAGGTGGCACAGGTATAGGGTTTTGAGTTTTGACAGGGTGTCCCGAAATCAGCCTGCCAAACATCACCAGCGGCTTCTATACGACAAAAAAGTGGAGGAAAAGTTTCGATGAACTTATGATGAGCAGGTGGAGTTTGACAGGCTAAAGTCGGGACAGCCTGTATATCTTTATCAAATCGCTAAATTTTGATCCTCCATGATTACATATTTCAGTTATTGGAACCGAGAAACTGAAACTGAAAAGGAGACAAAATGTATTCAGGAGCTCTTTTCAAATACTCATGCTAAAATAAATGATATATTTCTGGAACAACAGAATTTGAATTCGTTACTCCAGTTTCCAAATATGGAAAAATATTCATAATTGAATCTCATTCACGAATTTTCTCCAGTTTTATTCTATCGTTTTTTCCTCTTCTCAAAATAGTGCTCATACATCGCGATCCGCTCATCTTGTGAACAATCCCTATTTTTTTCCTGATTTGTCCATAAACTGTTGTACATCAATAGTAAGTAACCAAAGAAACTTCACAAAGCTGCATTTTTCTTTATTTCAATAAAGGTACGTGTAGTACTGATTTGCCCATAATGTCACTGCGCGTTTAAAAGGTTCACTAATAGGCCCACTGGCCCACTAAAAGAACAATTCAATTGATGGTCAGTGACATTCTGAGGCAAATCATCTGATTTGTCCTTACTACACATATATACAGGGTGTCATTTGCAATCAAACTAACGGTATATGTGGTTATCAAATTGTTGATGGTTCAAAAGCTAATCAATTTTTCTGAAAAACGCGACCCATTTGGAAAAAATAATAACAGAAAGGCGGTTTTGAATAACACGAGCGTAAGGTTCAATTTTGTGATAGGCATTGGAATATACGCGAAAGGAATTTATTATCATTCCAAACAGAGTGTTCACTAAAAAACGGGTGTTTTTTTTGGTGTTTAGTGCTGTGGAAACTTTCAAACAATGAAATAGCAGAATTTGACTCTTTCATACAAATTCATTTTGTTTTCACCCTAGTGAGTGTTTTTTTTTTCATCATTTTATTAAACCGTCGTTTTCTCCTTTGCTTTTCTAGCTATATTCCATTCCTGAAATTTAAAGCACCGAATATGCTCACTAGAGGGCCGTTTCTCACATTTTAGGTTTTTTTTCTCATCATCCGGTGTTCCTGGAAATGACATTAACTTTTGATTTTCAAATGGGACACCCTGTATTTTTTCCATAATCGGTTGGGGATTATCATAACGAATTTAATGGTACCGGGTTTGATTGGGTTATTTCGAACGATTTCAAGATTCAGAATTCTGATCACCCTGCATCTGTTCCAATTAAATGTCAGTAAATAGTAAATCTGTGTCAGTTGTTGCTGAAAATATTTTAGAACGATGTCCTCCTCGAAAATATAGCTGACGTGTTTCTGCGTTTTTATATAATCTGGTTCTGTCGACCTAAAGATCCGCTGTTTCGTTTCCACTGCCCCACCCTGTATACATTCTCAAATGTGATATTTTACAAAAATTGTTTGCCTGTAGCCTGTAGTACATTATGGTAAATTGTTTCTCGACTTGTATGTGAGAAGCGTTCGATTTCTCCACTACATACTGTCCGGTTGAATTCTTTCATATCACGAGAGTTTTGTGTAAAAGATATATTTTCAGCCTGTGGTGAATTCTTCCATAATATCTTGGTAGATTTTCTTTAAAGAAATCCACCACCCTCCGTGTTCAATTCTTCATTTGATAATTCGTATACTATACAGGGTGTTTGGTTCACCGACGTATATCTGAAAGGCACTGATAGGTTAGAAAATTTCGAATATATTTAACCATATAATAATAAAATATTATACAAAGTGTTACGACCTTTGAGATATCTCCGTTTGGTCGAACATTTCATCTGATTGTAATTTCTTCTTTTTCAAGAGTTGGATACGATTTTCATAGATATTGAACAAGTAATTGGATACAAATCTGATAAAGGATTTTTTGGCTTGTTAGAATTTTGAAAACGAGTTTCTGTAACATACAACTTTGTATTTATAACAGTGATGATTTCTTTGAAAATGTAACACTTTGTATAACAGAAAATATGTTTAAATATTCTCAGAATCACATCACATACCACCCAGATATACGTCGGTGAACCAAACAGCCTGTATATATTTTTCCTCCCTATAATTTCATTATCATCATTCGTCATAGACTAGGTCATAGATGAATCATTTGTTCGAAAATTAATCGGTTAGCAGCATGATTCAACTTATTAGTCATTCATTCGGGATCAGTGGTTAATCAAAACAGTCTCATATTAGATGTCATCATGTACGGTCGAATTTTGTGATAGGCATTGAAAAATACGACAGGAATAATTAATGATCATTCCGAATAGAGTGTTTCTCATTCAAATCAGTGGACTATTTTATACAAATTTTAGGCATAGTTGTGAAAAAGTGAATAATTTTTTTTCATTATTCTTCCTTACGGAATTCTGTTCCCATGACGAAAATTGTTCATTTGATTATTCCAAATTTTTTGGGATTTTCTCTCCTCGTTTCTATAAAAATATGAATATTATTTCAATATACGTGTAGTAAGGACAAATCAGATGATTTGCCCCAAAATGTCACTGCGTTTAAAGAATTTTCCTATCAGAGAGCCTAACAGAAAAATTCACTAGCTTGTCAGTGACAATTTGTATTGAAAAAAGTTTTGAGAAGATAAATTAAGGTATATAGAAAGAATATCAAATTTTCACTAATCTCTGGACGTTCCGGGACCGAATCTGCTCCCGTTTTCAACATAAGAAATGATTATTTTAATAGCAAAGTCGTATCTGTCTTGAAGCTTTTCAGTTTTCATTGACAATTGGTGACGTTGGCAATCGAATGAGTTACAGGATGTTTTCATTAATTAATCTTGAATTTATCCTTTTTAATGTTCAGATTTTAGTAGTGAATACCATGAAGACGGACAACATATGGCAGAGGGGAATAATATTAAAATCATTGGAAAAGAAGATAACAACCAGAAGAGAAAAATCAAGGAATCTGCTTGCATTCTTCTGAACGGAGACAATAGCATTGCTTCTTGTTCAGTTGATACAGACAGAACATGGTATTCACTACTAAAATCTGAACATGAAAATGGTGAATTCAAGATTGATTAATGAAAACATCCTGTAACTCATTTGATTGCCAAAGTCACCAATGAAAACTGAAAAGCTTCAAAACAGATACCACCTCGATATTAAAATAATCATTTCTTTTGTTGAAAACGGGAGCATACCTATTTGGTCCCGAAACGTCCAGAGATAAGTGAAAATTTGATATATTTTTTTATATACCTTCATTTCTTTCTCCAAAATTTTTTCAATACAAATTGTCACTGACAAGCTAGTGAATTTTACTTTTAATCTCTCTGATAAGAAAATTCTTTGAACGCAGTGACATTTTGGACCAAATCATCTGATTTTTCCATACTACACGTATATTGAAATAATATTTATATTTTTATATTATAGAAACGAGGAGAGAAAATCCCAAAAAAATTGGATTAACCTACAGACAGTATTTAGATTGCATTGATTATCTGTTCTTATTAGCGAAGTCCATTTTTGTTCAAATTTTTCAAAAATATTGCGATTTTAAAGCCTGTGACCTCCTTCAAGCAAGGACTGGATCCGCCCTTGTATGATTTGCCGCGAAATATCACTACGTTTAACAAATTTTTCTATCAGGGAGCCTAAAAGAAAGAGCCAATAGCTTGTCAGTGACACTTTGTTTGGAGAAATGTTTGAAGAGAAGAAATATAGATATATTGACAAAATATCGCATTTTTACTTATCTTTGGACGTTTCGGGAACGAGTCTGCTCCCGTTCTCAACATAAAAATGCAAAAATTTGTTTCTTCGAAAGTGAACTGAACAGGAAGCAATACTATTGTCTCCGTTCAGAAGAATGCAAGCGGATTTCTTGATTTTTCTCTTCTGGTTGTTCTCTTCCTTTTCTATAATTTCGTGAAGTTTTTCCAAAATTCACATTACAATTTCAAGTAAAAAAAATAACGGATTTTATCTCAAAATTCGCGTTCCCAACCGACGTACCTCGACGAATCCCGACTCCACCATGAAAACAATCGGCATGCACACTTTCATAACAACATTGCATGTCTTTCGTTTGTTTCTTCAAAAGTTCTGCGAGAGCTCGCGAGAGAGTGAGCGACGCCTTTAGTAGTGTAGTAGGCTGTGACTAGTGTTGGAATATACGATTTTCGGCTGTCCGCGATGTGTCAACAACGGGATTCCGAACGACTTTAGCGCGAAGTAAACGAGGAAAATCGGTGAAAAGTGCTTGGAAATGTCCGGATCCGGATATGGAGTTCACTTAGTTCATGAGGACCTATTTCGATATTGTAAGTGGAAAATTCGATCGGTATCGCAATTGCACGATGCAGTGTTATTTGGAAATCAAGTGACTATAAGTATTTATATCGCAAAAATCATGTCCAGCTTTTTTCTCTGTTGTGGTTTTCGAGAGGAGAATTTGCAATAGAATATTGCGATTTCTTATGAATACAAAATGCAATGCATAGTTATTTTATTTAAAGGTTGTGCACAATCACTTTTAATAATCACTGTTATATTGAAGAAATAAGCATATACTGCGGGATCGTGAATATCGTGATATTTTCAAAGAGTTCATCGCTAAGAATCGAAGGGAAATTCTTGAAAAATTTCATCACATTAATACGATAATGAGGGAAAATCAACAGAACGAAACTTACACGGGGTGATGAAGTGTTTCCTGGCCTTCCATGATCTTTTCTCATGAAAAGTCAGATGGTCAGACACATTACGATCAGGGTTGGCATGAATTAATTCATATGAATTAAATCAGTGATTTAATTCGTGAATTAATTCCATTGACTTTTTTCGAAAAATTCATGAAATCATTCAAATTTTTAAAAATGAGACAAATTGCACTATTACCTTTGATTTTAACTAGTTTAAACTGAAAAACTCGATCGTATTTTGGCAAGACTTTGTTATTTCAAGCATGACAGAGATTTTTACTAACAGATATATACAGAACAGGTTTATTATCACAGCATCGAATTTTTTTCTCCCGGCGATCCATTATGCATATCCGATAACTTGAAAATCGATTTTGACACATGTCACGTGATCACTGGTATGGTGATAAATAAAAATAATACTATAAAGCGACGAAAAGTGGGGTTAGATAACAAAATATCCATAAACATTTCTTATTAAGTTGCTATCCACATTCAGTTTCGAGCAATTTTTGGAGGAGAATTGGAAATAGCTATATTTTTTCGAATATTCTTCAATTTTGTTACAATTCTCTTTTTTTCTGACAGTAGTGATGTACAAGTTGAATAGAATTCAATTTCATGCTCACATATGGAGTTTCCAGCCATTATTTGAGAGAACTGAAAATAGCTATTTTTTTTTTTAAATAACTTCATCTTCCCATCTAACCCCACTTTTTGCCATCGTAATTTTTTGAATTTACCGCCATACCAGTGATCAAGTGACATGTGTCAAAATCGACTTTTAAGTAGTCAGACATGCATAATAGATCCCCGAGAAAAAATGTTTCGATATTCTACTAATAAACTTTTTCTCCATGTGTTACGAACTTTATGGATGATACTGGATCTATATGTATCTATTACTTTGTATTCTATCATCACTTTTAATTTTGTTTTGAAAAAATGACATGTAATATCATGATGTTATTCTACAAGATTTCTGAAGGGAATAAAAACATAGTTTTTTGTTTTTTTTTTCTATTTCGCTTTGGGTAAATGAAATTAGTTTTTTTTTAAATGAATTAATTCAAAAAAGTCTGACTTAATTCAAAAAGTCGGACTTTGATGACTTTTTTATAAAAGTCATGACTTATTCCAACCCTGATTACGATAGTGGGACTCCATCTAGAGACACTTTTGGATTTCCTCCCCAATTCGCAATTCGGATGGAAAATAATGATTTTTTTCTAGTGTCGTACACACATATCTAGAACTTTTTCTTTAGAAATCCGTAAAAACTTATTGAAAATAATGTTTTCCTGAATGAATCGCTATAGCAAAAAATACGGGGTGGAAACAAAATAGTTAAAAGCTAATCTTTGGAAAACGCAGTTTACAAACCCAGATTAAAACAATGGCCAGCCAGTTCGTCAAAAGATATCCAGAAACGGCCTTCTTGAAGTTCATTATCCATTATGAATCTCGAATTGTTTTCCAAAATTCATCTCTAATTGCAATACAGGAAGAACATTTTAATTTTAAACTCTTTCTGATATCGATGATTTTTCTTCTATAGAACTTCAAATTACATTTTACTGGCAATAAGCGGTATATTTACGACGTACCTACTGGTACCTACCTAATATCGCGAATGAGGACTAAATTTTTTTTTGTCTCGAGGTTGGTATAGAACTAATAGGTATTCTTCTTCTTTCTAATAGGTATTCTGCTTCTTTTCGTGTCAGTTGTACCTTTTCCTATACGAGTATACTCGCGAGTATACAATATATCCTATTCTTCTCTGATGTTGATGTGGAAATTGCACATAAAGTTCCACATTGAAAGTATTTCTATTTATTGTTAGAATGAAATTGAAGGCCAAACTATGTTTTCAAACAATTTTACGTTTTTGACAGGATTACGTTTACGATTACGATTTCTGAATACAGCTGTACACCCTGTCGATAGCAGTAAATCATATATATTTAGATATAGAAAACCAACAATGAAATCGAAATCAATATCGAAGTTTAGAATGTCACTTAGGTATATGTGGTATCATTTTGGATTCCAGAAAATGACCCGGTATATAAATTGATATAAAATGATCATCGTCGTAAGGTTCGAATTGATGACCAGTTTATTATGAGATTTATTCTATTAGCCGATTATCGTTTTTGTAACGGAAGGGTAACGGGTAAAGCATCGGAATGTTGTTGAGACAGTGATGAATGAGTATGTGACGCAATTCTTTTGAGGAGATTTCAATAGGAAGTGAGACAGAAAACAACAAACTAATTTTTTTTCTGTGACGGAAAAATTGTTATATTTGTATCTTAAGCGCTATACGCCTCGTTAAAAAAATCAGATTTCGATCACCAAAGTATTTCGTGCTCGAGTTGCAAACAACATTTTTTCTACAAACGTCAAAAAATATAGTTCTTAAGTGAAAATATGCTCAGCTTAATACAAAAAATAGTGTTGAACTGACTTAAAAGGCCTCCCCCTACCGTCCCTATATATGTATAATAGAAATTTCCTTTCGTGCGCTCCAAGAGATAAAACAAAGTTATTGTTGAACATTCAGAAATAATTGATCTCGTGGATGTTTGCTCGATTGAGGACCATAAAGTTGAAATATAACTATCTCATATATTTTACATAACAATGCGCGAAGTAGGTACTTCGCGCATTGTTTTGTGCAAGGTATCATGGAAACGTAGGAAACTGAAAACAAGTGTCACTTCGCAATTTGTTATCAATGCGCGAACCTTGTCATTTGATAGGTTACAAAATGTCACTTTTCATAAATTACTTTTTTCCCACGGAAAAAAGTGCACTTTAGAAAATTCCTTTGAGAAACTGCAATTATGTGTCGATATTCTAATAGCTTGCAAAAACGCGGGAAAAGACGTGAATTAATCATCCGAGAACACCATATAAGATTCGACTTACGTATCAATTCTCTATTTCTGATAGACAAGTGCAAGAATATTTCTGATTGTCATTTCAATCAGAATATGGAATGAATTTTCTGGATTGAATACTTACTGCAGACTGCAGATAACAGAGAATACAACAAACAACTAAATAATCAGATAATATGAGGATTATCTTTGAATATTCGCATTTTGACTAAATGAAACAAGGATAAGGAAGTTATGGTTGATAATGTAGCTTGTCTTCTTCTCCTTTTTTTTTGTACTTAGGCATTACACTGTTGCCCGTGTCACAAAATAATTTGGGATTTGAATAAAATCTCGATCATTATTAGGAATATTAGGATATTTTCGTTGATATACTGAAGCATCTTGCAACTATATGAGTATTCAATAAGTGATGATTAGGGACCTAGTCGAGGACCTAGTCGAACTATTGTCTTCTGTGAATGTGAATACTGTTGTCATTAATTATTGAAAAAATATATTTATGATGATTTTAAATAACGAATGATTGCATAAAATACTATTTATACGTGTGTGAATTTTTGCACACAAAAATATACATATAGCACCATCAAGAAAATTTCTTGAAATTTTTATGAATTCTCTGCTCTGAACCAGTTATGACAAAAACTATATCTATTGTGAATGCGTATCATTTCCTTATTTTGACCAAAAAGGAACGAAATTTTCCTGCATGATATTAATATCATCTTGTATAGGGTGTGTCGAATTGACTGATTATTGATCACCACTCGTACTTTTATCTTTCGCAATTGTGATCTAGATGAAATAATTCTCTCTAAATTAGGCTAAGTAGACTAAGTATAGTATTGCATAGCACCATTTAAATATAATTTTCCGCGTATTTTTTTCAACTTATACGTCCGAATCCACTAATTCTATCACCTCCAGATCACGTTTTGAAAAGTGAAAGCGATTTGATTGTAGGCGACTCCACTGTGGAAAAAATCGTGGCATAAATTATACAGGTTTGTCAGCTTTACTGGCAAAATTACTTTTTAATGGATCGTACCATGCATTCTTACCTGTACCGAAAGGAACCCCAACATCGGACAAAAAAAGTTGATGAATTGAGTATAATACGAAAAAGTTGATTTTTCGTCGACCTTTACAAAAAAACACACTTTACGTTCAAATTTCCGAACGAAAAACCACAACAATCAAGGATAGGATGGAAAAAACTTGAAAACTGCAAGTCAGTTTTCAATTTCTTCAGGTTTTTTATATCTTCAAAATCAACAATAGGAAGTACCTCCCATGCAAGATTCAACAAATAAAGAAAAATTCGTTGTCCTGTAATTTTTTGAACATTTTGTGGAAATTGTATTCAAATTTTTTTCTGGAGCGTGTTGTGATTGCTTGATGTGTTTTGTTTGATTCAACGTTTAGGAGATTGTCTAACATACCAAACAATAGGCTCACCAGACTCTTTTTTCGAAAATGTGATATGCTTTTTTTATTTTAGTCGACCAGATTTCTGGTAAAATCGATACTGAAAAGGGGGTATCTTTCCGCTATTAATCATTCCAGAATAACGTCATTTGATATTGTATTTTGTCATATGACACCAGGAGTAGTTGGATCGTTTCCCTTTTGGAAGCCAAGTTGGAACCCGAATGGATTCTATGATTTTCTATGGTGAATCTGTTATTGTATTCTGGGTGTGGGCAG